ATTCTCTCAGACAGAAGTACTTCATTGTATCTACAGTACTGAGAAAAAATTTTCAAGTTCTTCCTTAGAAAATTCTAAAATTTGATAAAATGACCAAAAAAATTGTTTTAAAGAAAGGAAGTAGTGTTCATACCTCTTTCTTTACAAAATAGATACTGTTAATATATCAAAAACAGTCCCTTACAAAGTAATAGTTACGGTTTTTAAAAAAAATTCTGAAGGGCTTCCAATAATAAAAAGCAAGAGTTTCTCACCTCATTCTCACTATGCCTAATGGTATTAACCAGAGATAGTATTTTTAAATAAATTTTTGTAAAGTTGATGTATAATTTGCAACAGAAAGGCACAATCCTTAAATGTACAGTTTGAGCTTTGACAGATGTATACACCTGTGTATAACCCACATGCCCATTAACATGTAGATGATTTCTATCATCTTAGAAACTTCATTTGTACTCTTTTTAGCAGTGCCACCCCCTGAAGCCTTTCTTCTGATTTTTATTGCCATGGATATATTTTGCCTGCTTTTTTAAAAAAAAAATAGCTTTTTTGAGCTGTAATTCATATACCCTGTAGTTTAAGCTCATATGAAGTATACAGTTCAGTGGTTTTTCATGTATTCACAGAGTTGTGCAACCATCACCACAGTCAATTTTAGAACATTTTCATCATCCCCAAAAGAAACTGCATATCCATAGCAGTCACTACCCATCCCTCTTTGTTTCCCTTACTCCCACTCCCATCCTTGGCAACAACTAATTTACTTTCTGAATTCTAGCTGTTTCATATAAATGAAATCATACAATATATTTTCTTTTGTGACTGGCTTCTTTCACTTAGCATAATGTTTTCAAGTTTCATCCATGTTGTAGCGTGTATCAGTATTTCATTCCTTTTCACGACTGAATAATATTCCACCTTGTGGATATACCAATATTTTTATCCATTCAGCAATTGGTGAACATTTGGATTGTTTCCACTTTTTGGCCATTATGAATAATGCTGCTATGAACATTGATTGTATAAGTTTTGTGTGGACATAGGTTTTCATTTCTCTTGAATATACATCTAGGAGTGGAATTGCTGGTTCATGTGGTAATTCTATGTTTAACCATTTGAGGAATTGCCAGACTGTTTTCCAAACTGGTTTTACCAATTTACATTCCCATCAGTAGTGTCTGAGTGTTCTTATGTTGTCATATCTTCGCCAACACTTGTTATCATTTATCTTTTTGATTATAGCTATCCTAGTAGTTGTAAAGTAGTGTGTCATTATGGCTTTGATTGGCATTTCCCTAATCATTAGTGATGCTGAGCATCTTTTTATGTGCTTATTGGCCATTTGTATATCTTTAGAGAATTGTCTACTGTTATTCTCTGCCCCCATTTTAAAATTGATTTGTTTGTTTTTTTATTACTGAGTTGTAAGAGTTATTTATATATTCTAGATGCACGTCTCCTGGGTTACAAATTTTTTTCCCATTCTGTGGGGTTTTTTTTTTTCTTCACTTTCTTAATGGCATCCGTTGAGGTACAGAAACATTTAAAATTTTGATGAATCTAATTTATATATATTTTTGTTTGTCACTGTGCTTTTGGTGTCATGTTTAAGAAGGCGTTTCTTCTATAATATGATTGTTCTTTAACTTTTTTTTTAACTGGAGGTACTGGGGATTGAACCCAGGGCCTTGTGCAAGCTAAACATGCACTCTACCGCTGAGCTGTACGCCGCCCTCCTCCCGTGAACGTCTTACGAGTGGAATCATACAGTATATACTCTTTTGCATCAGGCTGCTTTCAGTCAACCGTGCATAAGTTTCATGCATGTTAATGTATGTGTATCAGCACTTTGTTCCTTTTTACTGTTGAGTAGTGTTTTAATAAATGAATATATCACAATTTGATCATTTATTTTTCTGTATATTTGGGTGGTTTCAGGTGTTGGCTGTCATGAATAAAGCTTTTCTAGACTTTCAGTTGCAAGTCTTTTTGTGGACACACTTTCATTTCTCTTGCTATGTCATATGAAATATGTTTACCTTTATAAAGAACTGCCAAATGTTCTTCAGAGTGGTTGAAACGTACATACTCCTGACATGGATGTATGACAGTCAGAACGGCTCCCGTGTTTGGCAGTACTTGGTATGGTCAGTCTTTAATTGTAGCCATTCTAATGTGCACATAGTGTGGCTTTAACTTGGGTTCCCCTGATGACTAAGGGTTTTGAATGTTTTTCAGTTGCTTAGTGGCTGCTTGACTATTTTGTTTTGGAAAATGTCAGTTTAAGTATCTTACTCATTTTTTAAAATGAGTTGTTAGCCTTCTTAATATTGATTTTAGGTGTTCTTCATGTATTTTGGGTGTCAATCTTTTGTCAGATGCGTATGCTGAGGGTTTTTTTCCCTCAGTTTGTGATTTATCTTTTCATTTTCTTAATGGTTTCTTCTGAGGAGCAGAGCTTTTTAAGTTTGATGAAGTCTAATTTAGTGTTTTTTACACTTTTTTCTTTTATGGTCAGTGTTTCCTTGTGTCCCATTAACATATTTTGCCTATTCCAAGGATGTGATGACTTTGTCCTGTTTTCTTCAAGGACTATTATAGGTTTAACTTGTATTCCTGTGCAGGCCTGTTGTCCATTTTGAGTCATTTTTGTGTATCATGTGAATTAAGACATAAACAGTATCTTTAAAAACTATGATGTCTTTACTTGGAATATTTCATTTGTAAATGCCCCTCACAGTGTGTTGTGCGTGTATCTGTTATTTATGTCATCGTCCTGTGAAGGCGAGTTGCTCACCCCTTTACTCTAATCCGTCCGTGAATTCACTTGGGTTCCTGCTTGCGCTTGCTTATATCAAAAGTTAGCATGTTTGCGACCTTTCTGATTCTTTAAAAAAACAAAAACCTTTTGTTCAGGTACTTTTTCATCTTTACTTTTATTATATCTCAACTTTATGTTTAGCTTAGGAAATACCATTTTTTTTAAACTTCATGTCTCTATTGATGGTAGTGGTGCGATTTAATTATTTGGCATATAACAAGCATTCAGTGAATAGTTAACGGAAATGAAGAACTCAAGTTCAGATTATTTCAGTGAAGTTTGTTTCTGTATTCCATTTAGAATTCTTAGGGTTTAGAGTCGTACATAAAATTACTTATACATGCAGACTAATTTTTTCCATAAGATATTTTATGGGCTTACTAAAATAATATATGTGGAAAAAAGGCAAAAATATTTAAAGCAAAACATTATCATTAACTAGATTTTTCTGGCAAAGAATATTTATAGCAAATAGTTGACCCTGAATTTGGTTATTTTGTAAATTTTTCTGTTTCTAGAACTATTTGGGACATTTTATTTAATTTACTGTTGCTATGAAAAAAAGTATTAAATTATCTCCTGAATAAAGTTAAAATTTGTTCAGTTTATATTGTGTTATTGTATATGACATATCTGGTATTTGAAGGTTTTTTTAACATGAGGATTTTGATTTTATTTCAGTTCAGTCAATGTTCAATATACTTTGCAGAGAGCTAGGTGCTTTCAGGAATATAAAGATGAGCAAGATATAAATCTGGCTCATAAAGGGTGTTTCTATCATCTGCTAAATAGAATTTAGCTCATATTTCTTTCCTTTACTAGTTTTTTTGTATCATAAATTAGTATTGGGAGCATTTCTTGTCTAAGCAGATGACTTTTTGAAAGAGTTACTGGAAGTAGGGGGTAGCCATGTCTAATATACAAATAGATGTTTTAGGACACTTATTTGAATGATATATGATGTACATCTTTTTTGGCAAAGGGGTAAATTGTAAATTTTTTTGTTGGAAAAAAAAATAGACAGCTTTGGCTGGATTTGAGGCACATTGTGCCATGAGCAGATTTTCTTTAAGTGGCTAAAACAAAGCTTAAAAAGCAAGTAACAATAAAAAAAATGCTTCTGGTACCGGACCTGCAGTACGAAGAACAGTGTACAAGCACCTGGATAAAACGCCCGTTGCGCGGCGGTGCAAGCAACGTACGTCTTAAAACGGCAGAGCCACGTTTCCCAGCATTTTCTTGTTTGCAGCCTGTGTGGATGTGAAAGAAATAACGGATTTGATGTTGAGATAAGTCACAGAGTGGATCTCTGAAGTTACCTTAAGCTGTCTTATCCAAATAATGAAGAGACCTGAAACAGGGCCTTAAGAGTGAAGAGGCCTTGGTGTAAAAGCACAAGTGGGTGATAAATGAGAGCTGTTAGCTGGCCTGGGTTTTGGGGAGATGTCAGGGATTATGGAGAGTTAGAGGATTAAAGTCCTTTCTCATCTAAAGGGAGGTGCTCCTCCCTCCACGTTCCTGTGCAGGAAGATGGACCTAGTTTTGCCCAATTTTTTTAATTTTTTAAGACAATCCAGAATTGTAAATAAATATAAGTGTATGTGTATATGAAATCTTCCAATTTTAGTATTAGTAATTGTTCAGATTTTTTTCTTTTTTACACAAAGTCTGCATGAGCCAAACAAAACACTTTTTGTTTGGGCAGATTTAGTTAGGCGGTGGTGAAGCAAAATGGAAAAAGACCAGGATTTGGTTAACCTGTATGGCTCTGCCTTACTTTTTCAGCCCTAGGCACATTGTAAACATGATAAGATTAGTTCTTCGATAGAATTAGCTGTACCTTTTCCAAGGACAGTTCCCCCCCCCCGAAGCTCTCCCAACCACTTTTCTCACCAGAAGATCTCTTCTAGTTTGAACATTTAGTGGAGATGAAGGGAAATTATGATGGGACTAACAGCACTAAAATATTTAACGTTAAGTTACTATTTTAAATTTTGAAATTGCTATGCTTAGTAGAAAGAATACAGCAGTTAACTTTAGAGATGCCAACCAAGTGTTACTGAAACTACACGTATTTTAAAGCCGCAGCTAAGTTGCTGTAGCGACGATCTTAGGTGTCATCGTCTCGTCTCGTGTCGCTGTGAAACTAGATCCTGAGCAATTCTTAATTATGTTTTAGATTGTTAGAGACGGATAGTAAGTCTCTAAGATCTGTAGATGGGTCAAGAAGAAACAGTGGCTCCTCCCTTGTATCAAGTTCATCAGCCTCTAGCAACCTCAGTCACCTTGAAGAGGATTCTTGGATTCTTTGGGGAAGAATCGTTAATGAATGGGAAGATGTGCGGAAGAAGAAGGAAAAGCAAGTTAAGGTATTAATACTCGTTGCTGAAGTTCTTCCTCTTATTCCAGAGGGCGCTGGGCGTGGATTAACAGAGGCTAAAAGCAGTCAAGTTCAGTGCTTCCCAGGTGCTGTGACAGAGAGGCCTGCTGTATTTGTTTTCATTGATTTGTGCCCATTAGAAATTTTGGTTTGTAGCTATTGGTACTTATAGAAGTTTCCCAGTTGTAGAAATGTAGCTGAAAATTATTTTAGAAATGAAATTCTCCCATTTTATAGATTCAGAAATGAAGTTGTCACATCCTACATCCTTGAATTACAAATATTTTACTTTTTTTTTAAACCTAAAATGGCCCTTTGAAAGATGATGGTTACTGTACTGTCATTCACAGCTCTGCAAGTTATCAGGTCCTTAAAACCTTTAGAAGCCACACTGAGTGAAATGACAAGAATTTATCCATGGCATTGAAGTCCCTCTGATCACAGCAGGATGCACCATATCTTAGCCGAGCCTTGGCCTGGGTTGAACTTTCCCCTGTATCAGTTACAACTTTGAGCAAGTCTTCTACTCCGCTCCAGCCTCCGGGGGCTCTTCTTTGGCTTTCCAGGTGGGAAGCTTAAATACTTCACTTAAACACTTTTTATTTTTATTTTTAGGAGCTTGTTCGTAAAGGGATACCCCATCACTTTAGAGCAATAGTTTGGCAGCTTTTATGCAGTGCACAGAGCATGCCAATTAAGGACCAGTATTCAGAACTCCTGAAAATGACCTCACCTTGTGAAAAACTGATCCGGCGGGACATTGCTAGAACTTACCCTGAACACAACTTTTTTAAGGAAAAAGATAGCCTTGGACAGGAGGTTTTGTTTAATGTAATGAAGGTAAGTTCTCTTCATTCATTTTTTGGGATGAAATGAATTCTCAGGAGGTTGAAGTTAAACATTTCCTGTAATAAAGTATGAATTCTCACCCCAGTAGTCAGTTGCTTTGGTAATAAATTTGACAGCATGCTTTTGGCTCTAATTCTGATGCTACGCTGCTAGCTAGATTGGGGAGCTCTTAGAAAGCTCATCACATTGCTTGGTATTAGTCGACCTAAATCAAATAGCCTGTAAATCACTGTACGTACCGTAGAGAAGATCCTCCATGGAAACGGGTAATTTACCTGTGAGTTTCGCAGTCTGCGAGCAGATCCTCTAGTGTTGTCAAGAGCACTTAGCCTTTAAGTGTGTGCCGTTGTAGTTTTTTCTTCAATATGGCCTTTCCCCCTGCACAGATCCTTTCCCTCCAGCTACCTCTGTGAAATACTGATTTTTTGTTAAACCATTTCACTTTCGCCAGTGCTTTACTTTACCTTGCCCTACTCTAGTTTTATCTCTATCAGATATACTTTGGAGGGGGGGTAATTAGCTTTATTTATATTTGTTATTTAATGGAGGTGCTGGGGATTGAACCAGGACCTAAGGTGTGCTGAGCATGGGCTCCTCCGCTGCACTATACCCTCCCCGCCCAGATACATATTTTTAGTGATTCTTGAGCTCTGTTACTTTCCTGAGTACAAATTCCCTTATTTTCTTGTCCTCAGGAGCTGTCAGTTTCTAGTTAGGAAACATCAAAAGAAAACTTTATGTAAAAAAGCATTTGCTCTTGAAATACTTACAACATCTAGAACAAAGCAAGCAAGAGCTTCTCCATAAAAAAAGGTCTTTAATCCACTTTCCCACTGTTGCTCAGGTTTTAGAGAAAGCAGCTATGCTGTATCATGTTAAAGTCTTTTCAACAACACTTTTTGCGTTTTAGGCGTATTCCTTAGTGGATCGTGAGGTTGGTTACTGCCAAGGAAGTGCTTTTATAGTTGGATTGTTGCTCATGCAGGTAAGTCAGCACAAGTACGAAGCGTCCAGTTACGTTCTTTATTAAAGTCGGGCTGAAGAATTTAGAAATCACCCTTGTTTTTATTGTGTATGAGTGGATTTTGGGTATTTTCCCCGAGGCGTAATCTAAATAGGAGTATTTAGTTTGCGCTTTCAAACATTCAAAGTATTGAAAATAACATACAGTAATATCCTTCCACTGAGTGGAATTTGGCTTCTTGGTCTCTGCATTCGGACCGTGATGCTCTGCTGAAGCCTGCGTCTGCGTCTTGACGCCTGGGTCAGTATTTAACGAGGGGCCATCTCTTCCCCACCAAGGAGGGTTGATTAAAGTGTTGGTATAAAAAGCTTAACGTAGGTTGTACGGTATCTTTGGGAATGTGTGCAGTAATTCTGTTTGTCAGTGAAGCTGAGGCCTTGTTACGCGTGTCATATTATAGTCTTTAGAACACGGGTGCTCGCTCACTCACTGCCCTCGAGGCATAACTTGTATTTGCGCGGGCAGCGACTTGTTTCGGTTGCGGTGTTTTCAGATGTCAAGAACAGGACAGTCGTAGCTTTGGAAGGAAATCCATGTGGTGTTCTCTCTTCAGCCCCACTGAAGTTTTTAAGAAAGAATCCTACTCTGTAGTTAGTCTCACACTAAAATAGAGTCTGAAGAGGAGCCTTGGCGGTAACGTCTCGTGTCCCACGGGCTGGGGTTTGCATCTCACTTTGCCCTGAGGTCTGTGAACCTGGGCTGGGCTATGTCGCCTCTCGTGCTTAGCCTTGATCAGGTACTGCTGCCTACCTCCAGATTGATCGTGAGGGTTCTGTGAGGTAGCGCGTGTGCAGGTTACCAGTCCAGTGATCCGCGTCACACTCTGCTCCTTCTACTTCCACAGCAGCCGTAGCAGCCTTTCGCTTCTCCTGAACGTCTAAGCGCAGTTTTCCCTGCTTGAGGTGGGGCTCTCACAAGCTGACCTCGCGGCGTGGGAGCCCTGTGGGGGCGTCGCACTTGCCTTCGGGACGCTGCCGGTGCTGGCGGCCCTGCTTCCCTCCAGGGACTGCTTTACTCGGCTGTTACTGTTAATGGCGGCTGATACACCTCCATGACAGTAGTCATCTAACAGCCCAGGGCTCCAAGCTAGGAAAGCCCCCTCCTGGTTTCCAAAGCTTATTCTCTTTATATCCTGTGCGCCATTGCCTCCCACGTGTTAACGTAGAAAATATAACTCAGAGTCTGATAATTTTTTTTTTTTTGCTGAGTTAGCTAACTTAGTGCGCGGTGCTGAAATAGCTGAAGGTGCTGGGTCTGTGTTGTGTGTGTGCTGGCACTCCTGTGAAGCTGGTGGCCGTGGTCCTCGTTAGACTCTGCACAGGACGTGGACTCCTGTTAATTCTCCACAGCACGTTGCTCTAAGACGCACGTGTGCAGGCTGCGTTGTGATGGGGAGGACGTGCTGGGACGCAGCTGCGCGGGTGGCCGTTCTTCATGTTAGTGTTTCACGAGGTGTCGCACTTTCTCATTTGTGACTGTTGTTTCAGTCTTTTTGGGAAGGACCCCATGATAATAGCTTTTCTACCTCCTTTTGGTCTTTTATTCAGTCACTTCATTTTTTAAAATACCACCATCTAAACAAAGCCTCTCCCAGTTCCCATGTCAGTGCTTGTGGAAAGGGAGGGAGTGAAGCGTTTGATATGTTCAGGGGAGAAGAGAGTCGTACAAGACAGAAAAGGGAGATGAATTGATTCATTCTCGCTGTGCCAGGGGTTGAGGGGTGGGGGAGAAGTGGGAAGAGGAGGGTAGTGGAGGAGATGAGCGTGGGGAAGCAGCTCGAAGAATTTTGACTTCGACTGAGGATATGGGAAACCACTAGCGTGTTCTGGCAGTGGCGTGACGTGCTCTGAGTCCTGCTCTCAAAGTCTCGGTCTAGAATTTGACCCTCAGGTGGTGCTGCTTGGTAGCTGCCCGCCAAGATCGTCGGAGGAAAGGGGACAAAGGTCAGCTAGGCCAGGGAACTAATCCTCGTGGGAATGAGTGGAGTTTGAGGGGTGGGGCGTGACTCAGAGGTTTGTAGGTCCTGCAGAAACGAGGAGTGATCAGTAGTATCTGCTGGCGTGTGTTTCAGAGAGAAGTGGCAGTGAGGCAAGGAGGTCCCACCGATCTCCACCCCTCTTCCCGCTCTGGGAGAGGAAGCCGCCGCCTCGGGAGACCCGGGTTTTGGGGTAGAAGTATTCTTAGGGGAGAGTCAGGTTTCAGTCAGAGGACGACAGTGAAAGAACATTTGGTAAAAAGATCGAGGCTGTAATGGGGAGGGTATAGCTCAGTGATAGAGCAGGTGCTTAGCGTGCACAAGGTGCTGGGGTCAATCCCCAGTCCCTCTGCTAAAATAAATAAGCCTAATTACTCCCTTAAAAATAAATAAAAATAATTTAAAAAAGAGATTGAGGATATAGGTAGGATATTTTGTTGGTGGGAGATGATTAGTCCCAGGAAGTGCTGTGGGAAGGTTGAGGGAAGGCTGGAAATGGGGTTAGATTATGGGACAACAGAGCCACACGGGACGAGAGTTCTAGGGTGTTGGGCTTCTTACAGTGACTGACCTGAAAATCCGCGGCACGCGGAGCACCCAGGACTGATAAGGGTGATCTCCAAGGCAAACCCGTGGCCATGTGTGTCGGGGGGAAGGAAGCAAGTCGGGGTTTTGCCGGGAACAGCTCTTGGCTCCTGTCCACGGCTTCGTCCAGGCCAGGGAAAGTGTGCTGTCAGAGGCGGTCTTCAGTAAGAAGCGTGCGTAGGCATCCTCCGAGGTCTCCTCTTTGGAACACACTGGTGTAATGTGAGTGAGTGAACATGAGAACGTTTTATAATTTTGAGAAAGGCCGCACAATGATTTAGATAAATGTTATCTGCCTAAATATTCGCAGTCTCTCTGTAGCTCTTCACAGAGCTTTTACATTCATTGTCTTACTTGGTGCAATTTTCCTAGTGAGTTACACCTAAAATGTGAAATTGGAACCTTTAAGACCCTAATTACAGATTTTTTAAAAGCTTATTTTACAAATTCTTCTAACACTAAGACCGTATCGTTTCTGCTCAGAACCCTTGAAAGTCTTCCCATCTCGCTTAAGGTAAAAGCCCAGATCCTCAGAGTGGCTTCTGAACCCCTGTGCACCTTGGTTCCCTGCGTTTCCCCGCAGCTGTGCCTCTGGAGCGTTAGCGGCCCCTGTTCGCTGCTCCCTGCGCGTGGCGGGCGCGGTGCTGTTTCAGGGCCTTCGTGTTATTCTCCCAGGACTGTTCCTTCCTCAGTCGCTCTTTTACTTCTTTCAGTATCTGCTCAGATGTTGCCCTGTCCGGAGACTTTCCCTGCCCACCCTACGTGAGTGGCAGCGGACCCCCAGCACTCCCTGTTGCTCTGCTTTGATTCCGTGGCGCTCCTCGCCGTCTGTCGTGTGCAGTAACTGATTTATTCTATGTGTTGTCTGTCTCCTCCTAGGAGGTCTGAGCTCCCTGAGGGCAGGGGCTGTGTTTATTTTGTTCACTGGTCTGTACCCAGAGAGAGAGATGTATCTGGCTTTAAATGAGTCTTTGTGCTTGAATTCATGAGTTCGGCAAGTAGGCAGCTGGTCTCAGGCTGTAGGATCCATCTGACTGCTCGTTGTCGGTGAGAGAAAGGGGCGCGGGAGCCTCCTGACTCCAGCCCCGTGCTCTCCCCGCGCGTCCCAGGGCCGCTCAGAGCAGCGTCTGTCGCCGGGTGGGTGCGTAGTTTAAATGTGTTCGGCTTGCGTTGTACCACAGAACGTTAACCCGTGCTGCTTTCCTGTCCCCTGATGCAGATGCCGGAAGAAGAAGCTTTCTGTGTATTTGTTAAACTAATGCAAGATTACAGACTGCGTGAGCTTTTTAAACCAAGCATGGCAGAACTGGGCCTTTGTATGTACCAGTTTGAATGCATGATACAGGTAAAAGTGTGGTGTTCACAAAAGAGCATATTGCCTTTATGTTTTTTGTCATCTTGGTTTGAGTGACAACTCACCACATTTAATGTTACAAGCATTAAAGAATTGAAAAAAAATCAGTGTTTTAATCACATGGCTGTTTGTTGGCTGGTTAACACAGTTTAGACCTGCTTCCCAGTCAGGTGCTGTCTCAAGTAGCCCTTGGTCTGGAACTTGACTGCAGTTTTTATAATCAGACGTGAAGTGTTTGTGCCAAGTACGTGGTAACCTTGATGCGTGGCTTCCTTTCTGACGCCCTGTTACGTGCTGTTACTTTACGTAGACTGCCCCCTCTCACAGACGCCCGAGGCACCAGGACACGGACAGCAGTTCATTTCCTTTGAGACTGCCTTTTCTACCTCTTTCTGTCCTCTCCCCTGCTTTTCCCTTATCATCTCGCTTTTTTGTTAGCCTGTAATCTTTTCTCTGTCCTGTGATGTTGCTGATTTAAGACTCAGAGTCTTAGTGACTGTGTGAGGGTGGAGAGAAGAGGAGGAGAGGAATCAAAATCAAGTGAAAAATACCTTTGACGTAGTTCCCCTTTCTGAATTTAATTTTCATATTTAAATATGTAAATAAATTTACCGTTATGTCCTGTAATATCATGATGTAAATACTCTCCATTTACTTAAATTTCAGTTAGATAAGCAGAATTTAAAACTACAGGTTAATGATTCCGCTGGCATGAGCGCCATTTCCATGTGTCTCCTTTTCCCTGGCAGCCTTACCCACAGGAATTTTTAAATCCTCTTTTTTATGTGTGATGGGAGAATGGGGATGTTTTTACATTTTAAAGAGTAAGACAAAGTAAGTCTTGAGATGATTCTTAATTAATTTTTTCTCTGTAATAGCTTATTTTTATCAGCTTTAACACTCTCTTGGTTTATTTTCAGTGACCACTACCCACAATGTAGCAGTTTCTACCTCTTAACTTTTGCATCTGATGCCTAATCTTATGTTCATGTTTGGTACAGGCTAATGTAGTATATAGACAGTGGTCCGGTTTAGAATACTCAGTTTTACTGGTTAATTCTTTTCTTGTCTTTAGGAGCATCTCCCAGAGCTCTTCGTACACTTTCAGTCTCAGAGTTTTCATACCTCAATGTACGCGTCGTCTTGGTTTCTGACCATCTTCCTTACGACTTTCCCATTACCAATTGCAACGAGGATTTTTGATATCTTTATGTCTGAGGTAAGTGATGGGCAGACTGAGCAAGGGAACCATCGGGTTAATGGGAGCAGGGCAGTGAGAAGAACAGTAAAGGAGACCCGTGTGTCCTGTGCTGAGCTGCTCACAGGGGTGGCCTCGTTTGGTCTGTAACAGTCCTGTTGTCTCCCCCTTTCGTAGAGGGCAGATGAGGAAGCCAGTGCTCAGAGAAAGACTGAGTCGCTTGTCTATGGACACGTAGCACATAAGGGGTATTGTAAGCAGGATTCAAATGCAGGCAGTCAGTATCTGGAACCTACACTGGTAATCAAGCCTTTGTGTCACCTCCTTTTTGATACAGTGCGAATTAGGGAGGGGGTACAATTTACCTTACAGTTGATATTGTTAAAATGCATGTGTTACCCAAAGAGGAAGAAGTAATGAGTATGATTAAGTTTCTTCTGTTCCATCCACACGTTGCAGGTGGGCCTTTTAATTGTCATTGACGTGTGGTAGTGATCCTTTGTCTTCTGTGTTTTGAGTGAGAAGGCGGGGCTGGATGATCAGTGGCAGGGGGCTCCTGAAAACGTGGCTGTCGTTAATTACATCTCGGGAAGGTCAATTTGTACAACAGATTAGTTTAGTCTGGAGCCAGCAAGCTCTGCTGTGTGCACTGACCTGTCATGGCCTGCATGCCGAATCTGTGCTTTCACTTACTTCTGTAAGTAGAGTTTCTTGAAGCATGACCGTGACCGTTTGCTGATGTGGTGTCCGTGTCTTGTTTTTGAGCTACTGTGGCAGCTGAGTATCTGTGACAGCGACCACGTGGCTAACAAAGCCTGTGACATTTGCTTTCCAAGTCTTTGCAGAAAATGTTTGCCAGCCTCTAGTTTAGATACCTAAACGTTTACTTTAATAACGTGAACGGTTAGTTTTTGTGGCAGAAGGGTAAGGCAAATTTGACTGTATGTGTTTTGTTTCCTCAGGGTTTAGAAATAGTGTTTCGGGTCGGCTTAGCGCTGCTTCAGATGAATCAGGCAGAGCTGATGCAGCTCGACATGGAAGGGATGTTACAGGTACGTCAGCCTGCGGTTTCTTGAATGTCTTTAGATTTTACTGTCAATCAGTTAATAATAAACGGCACTGAGCAGTCATTGTCTTTCTCTTCCGCTGTGTCTTAGCACTTTCAGAAGGTCATTCCACATCAGTTTGATGCTGGTCCAGACAAGTTAATTCAGGCAGCTTACCAAGTCAAATACAACTCAAAGAAAATGAAAAAGTAAGTATTTTATATTTTGCTTTTCAGTTGTGGGGGTTTGTTGACACATTTAGGATGTTACATAGAAGCAGAAAATACCCTAGCTGGGAGTGCAGCTCTCCTCCTCATTCGATAGAGCAGCAGAGTTTTCCATGGTGGTATTGGTTTCCATATGACAGATTTAATGTTGGGCTTCCCTCGTGCTGCAGCGGCGCACGGGACCGTTGCGTATTACTTTTAAAACTCGCCTCTCCCGTTCCCCGTAGAATCAGAAAGCGGGTGAGTGTGTGTATGTGAGTGAGCTGTTAGTTTAGAGACCACTTAAGTCACTGACATTCCTTCCCTCTCAGTCGACCCCATCGTGTCACTTAAGTTCAAGATTAGCATAATTAGCAAGATAGGCACTGAGGTGTGCACTGATTACTTAAAATTTTATGTATTGTGTATTACTCTCTAATGAACCTTTTCTTTGTATATAGCTCATAAAAGTTCAAGATACACTTTCTTGGTTCATAAAGGTTAATTTTTGAAATATGGTAAAGGTGTTAATTAAAAATAGCAGCTCTTATTCTTCTGTCTTTCAGTAATTAAATAAATCTTAGCCGGAGGTCCTAGTATTCCTGGCCCTTGTTGTATGGTTACAGGTGCTTTAAAATGACAGCAGTGCTATACACAGCCTCACAGGTGTCAGGATCTTTGCTGCTGTCACATGAAATCCGAGTGGCATGTGTCACATACACCCCCGTGGATGTTCCTACTCCAGGAAGCATGTTAGAACATGAGTGAGAATTATGTTATTAAAGTCTGTTAATTCTAATTTTCAAAAGCAGCCAATTTATGATCTTCAACTGTTATTATTAATAAACTACCTGTGAGATTTCTAACCGCAATCACATCACACCGTCATTTTGAGACGTTATGTACCAAAAGCGGTTCTGTTCTGTGGCTGATAAGTAGTAGCACCACAGGTCACAGGTCACAGGTCACCATAACAGCTAAGCTTCTGGCTTCCCCCTCCCTTTTCTAGTGCAGTGTCTTCCTACTGCACTGACTGCTGCTTCGTGGTTAGTAGTTGTTCACATATGTTCGGTATTAAAACATGAGTCTCATCTGTTTCTACCAAGTGCTGCGACACTTAGACCTGGACCTGGCTCTGAAGAAGGCTGAGGCTTCCTGTGGGCGGGGGGTGGCTGGGCGACGGAGTAGATAGCCTGTTACAGTCACAGTCTGGTAGATGCCAGGGTGTTACTGGTGTAACGTGGAGGAGACGCCTGACCTGTGGGTCTCTGAGCTGCTTTCCCTGTCAGCCGGCAGGGGCTCAGGGAAGTGTGCAGAGCACGGCAATGGGATTTTCAGTCTCTGTTTATATTCTTACCCAACTTTTAGCTGCCTGATAACACTCCTGTGATGGAGGTATTATGACCAGGTTCAAGCTCATACCGTTCACACACGGCAGGCCGATAGAGAGGTGAGACGTTGGGGCAAGGACTGGCAACTTTATTCAGCAAGCCAGCAGACCGAGGAGATGGCGGACTGGTGTCCCCCAAACCATCTTACCTGCGCTGGAATTCAGGCTTCTTTTATGCTAAAAGGAGAGGAGATGTGGCTGTTGTTTCAAACTGCTTGGTGCCAGAATCCTTTGTCCTTGCAGCTGTTCACATAGGTCTGGTCACAATATTCCTGTAAACTTCCACCAAGGCAAATGTTAATCTCTGTTCTGCAGCTTTTTCTCTCTCTGTGAATGGAAGAGCGTTAGGCCTTTGAAAGTCGAGCCTGGGAGGCAGAGCCTTGAGAATGGGCTGTCGTGTGCTTCAGGCTGTAGGTGACATGCTCTCACAGAGGTTCAGAGCCAGCGTGACTGCGCCCAGGCAGCGGGCACAAAGGTCAGAGCTCAAGGAGTGGGTCCAGTGTGGAGGCAGGTTTGTTACTCTCTGTGACCATGTCCTGGTTCTCCTTTCTGCTTCTCCTTTTACAGTCTGCCATTTACCAACTTTAAAAGTACGGCAAACCTGCCAGTGGTACATTACTTCGGGATGTAAAAATCTCCAGGGACCAAACAAAAGGGACAGCTTCAGAATGCCTTGCTCCAGAAGGAGTGTCCCCTGAGAGAGCAAAGCAAGAAACATCAAACGGAGCAGCGTCCTAGTTCGTCCAGCTGACAAGTGCTTGGCAAGGCTGCCTCTTACTGGTCGTAGTTAGGACTGAAAAGCAGATCACAGGCTCAAGTATCAGCATAGACTTATTTGAGCTGAAAAGTGAACACAGACTGTAGCGACTGAAAGTGAACTTGACTCACTGGTTCAGTCACAGTGACTGCCTCTGCCACTTAGGTGGACATTGCCCATAAGTTGAATGAGGTAAATCTCATTTAAAGTTTTAGTGAAAAAATTTAACGCATATATAAATCACATCCTTTGCAGTTATATGCACTTCAGTAACAAAATTTTTTACAAGTTTTTTAGGTATATAAGGGGGAACAGTCTTTTAGCGGGTGCAGGGTTTGAAGACCACTGACATGGCCACACAGGAGGGTGGCAGAAGATGAAGATTCAGGTTGTTTTCTGAAGGAGATGGCGCCAGGGGACAATTTTAAAGAACTTTTGTTTCCAGTTGCTGGTGTTAAATGATGGCTGCGAACAGGGGGTCCCTCCTGTGTGAAACTTGCAGAAGTGCGAAAGGCTGACAATCAGATGCACAATGGAACGTCCACCAGGGGAAGTGCCGTGTAGGAAGAGTGAAGGCGGCTGGAGGACGTGGGTGATGGGCTGCTTTGTAGATAGAGCGCTCAGGGACAGGGCACACAGACTCATGGGGTGCCCTTTGACGGACGCCTGAGGGAGTGAGAGAGGCAGCCATGTGAGTACCTGGGGGAAGTGTGTTTCATGCTGAGAGAACACTGAGTGGAATGAATGAGGTAAGAATGGCTGATGTGTTTAAGAACAGCAAAAAGCCAGTGTGAGTGTAGCACAGGCGAGCAGGAGCTGGCAGGCAGCGAGGTCTGAAACGTGATGGGGAGCTGAGGGCACTTGAAGCAGTGCTGTCCCCGTGGTGGCCGCCACCTGTGTGTGGCTGTTAAGCAGAGTTGAGGGCTCATTTAATCAGTGATACTAGGCACGTTTCCACGGCTCACTAGCCCCTCACATGTGGCCGGTGGCTCCATACTGAGCAGCGCAGATGTAGGTCAGCACGACGTTGTCACAAGTTCTGTTGAATATTGTTTGCTCTCTCAGGGGCCAGACTTACATTCTGAGTCTGAGAGGAAACCATTAGAGAATTCTGAGAGAAGCGACATCGTCTGGTTTTAAAAGTTTTACTCTGTTTGCTGTCGAGAAGGGGAAGTAGAGTCAGCTAGGTGGAGAGGGTGGGGGAGCCTTTTAGGCAGAAGGGTGGGGCGCACAGAGGCTCAGAGGTTTCTTTAGGACGTGAAAGCTGCAAGCAGTCAGCCTGAGCCTTCAGCTTCTTTTGTTGTAATTTTTTATTTTGATTTACTCCTCAACTTTTTAAAAAGCTACAAGTATAGCACAAGGAACTCCCGTGTACCCCTTACCCAGAGCCACCACCTGTCTACATTTGCCCCATTTGCTTTACTTTCCACCCCCCATACATGTACACACACACGTGTGATACTGTGTGTGTGTGTGAGCAAAAGCATGCCCATTTGGGAGGGTCCATTTAAGAATAAGTTGAGATATTGTGCCCTTAAATACTTGGATAGGTACTTCCTAAAAACAAAGCTTTTTTTAACGTAAGTCAGTAGTTAATCAAAATCAGGAAATTATCATGGCTGCGGTACTATTGTCTAATCCGTAAGGCATGTTCAAATTTTATCACTTGTCCCAATAATATTCTTTATAAGGATCTCCCCCTCCCATCCCCCACATCCACCCACTCCCCACCCTTCACCCTGACCCCTGGGTCCTGGATCCACTCCTGGATCATGTACGGCATTTAGTTGTGTCAGTTCAGTGTCCTTTAATCTGAAACACTCCCTCAAGCCTTTGGTCTCTTGACCATG